AGCTGCCCTGGCACCCGACACACCACTAGCAGCCTGCTCCTGGACAGGAGCCCCACTGCTTTGCCCACTCGAACCCCTCCACCTCCTGCTGCTAAGCTAACCTTCCGCGAACATGTTCTCTGCCCGCGCCTGCGCACAAGCTCAAGTTCCTCACGGCCCCCACACTGAGCCTTCGCTCCTCCGCGCGGAGTTCAAGCTTAGAGCATTTCATCTCCAGCCTTGTCTGCTGTTACTCCCCACGTGGATTTCCTTCCTGTCATGCTGATGCTGCAATTTTCCTACTTCCCTTTCCTCAGCCTCCAGAATGTTCTCTCCTTCGTGACACATGGTTAGATTCTGGAGCCAGAAAAACCTAGATTCCAATCCCAGCTCCATCAACTCTAGTGTTTTGGGATGGCTTTCTGAAGTTCACCAATCTGGACTCGACTTTATCTGTGACGTGGCCATAAAAATGCATCACCATCACCACAGAAGGGCCGTGAGTATTAAAATGGAACAAAATATATGAAAAAGCATACTCATGCTGCCCAGCTCAAAAAACACACTTCCTACAGGTTCCCTTCCCACAGACCAATTTTTCCAGACCTGACTCAAGTTCTACCCAACATCTCACTTCTACCACAAAAGTCAAACATTTCAACCTTCCTTTATCACCTGTCTGAACACCAACGTCACATTAGGTGGCACCCATTTTAGTGCCTTGTCACATGCTGTCCTATACTGCTTCCTAATTATCCTACCTCTCTCAGTGCATCTCTGTCATCTGCAAGTTCCTTAATGATCAGGGCCAACTCCCGGCATACAGAAAGCATTCAATCAGTATTTACTGATCAACCAATTGGCTGATTATGGCAATTACAGCGCGAACAGCTAGAGAAACCTGCACAAGAAGACCTGGTGTCTCCTGTGTGCATTTTGCCTTCTCCCCGCTCTACCTCTTCCCTTCGACCTGCCCTGCCTTAGGTCTCCCTCCTCTGCTTCTCCCTTGCCTGCACCAGATCTGCCAGGAGTACTTGTGGATACTACTCAGCCCAAGGGGTAGCCCTCAGGGTTAAGGTACGGAGCCCTGCTGAAGCCCACTCCCTGCCCCATGGCTTACCTGTGAAAAGTTCAGGGGCCATATGGATTGGCGTCCCCACAATGCTGCCTGACATCATGGCCTCTGGCTTGCAGAATCCTAAGTCAGTGATCTTGGCACGGTTCTGCTTGTCCAGCTGCCAACAAAGCAGGGTGAGAGTGAGCCTGCGTCAGATCCTGCACACAGCACTCAGATGCACACTCAAGCTCAGAAGCAGGTGTCCTCCTTCAAGTAGCACTTAATCAAGCCTCCCTGTCTCCAGATTTGTTCCCACTCCCGCCTTCTCCCCAGACTGTCAGCAACCTGGATGGCAGGGGCTATCTTCTTCGCCTTTGTATACCTCGCCCTTAGCGTAGTGCCTGGCACATCGCAGAAACTTAGTAAGTCTTGGAAGAATGAATACAGTGAAAGACACCGAGGAAAGTATTTCAGTTCCTGATGATTCTCCTCGGACCTCCAGACCCCAGGGCAGAAAGTCACGAAGGAAGAAGGCTGAGGTCCTCTGGTCAGCTGAGGAGAGTTGCTTGGATTCCCTGCAGTTTCCTTTCCTAAAGGTCCAAGAGAATAAATCTGTGCCTCATTTGACTACTGATAAGCCTCTCAGGTTTCAGCCTATGACTTTAGGGCAACCTCTCCCCTCCCCCACACCACTGCCATCTTTCTATGTATCATGTCTGTTGCCAGAGACACCCTCATGGTACCCAATACAGCTTCAAGAGGAGCGGCTCAGAAGGTTCTTTAGAACTGAGATACCAGGACTGCTGGGTTCATGATCACCTTTTCTTTGACGGTGCATTTACCCATCTCAGCCCTTATCCAGCACCTCTGACCAAACCCTAAACAACAACCAGACCTGGAATCCTCAAAAACATCACAAAAGCAAAAAAGGGCAGAAGGACTATTCTAGATTAAAGGAGGACAGGAAAACATGACAACAAAGTACCCCGTCTGATCCCTGGAGTGACCCTGGATCAAACCAGCAAACAAACGGACTGTGTCTGAGTAACTGGGAAATGTTAATATAAACTTGTTTATTAACTAACAGTATTGTATTGATGTTAAATTTCTTTGGTGTGATAATAGCATTTTTATTACACAGAAAAATGTCCTTTATAGGAGATACGAGCTCAAGTATTTAGGAGTACTGTGCTATCTGTAACTTACTTTCCTATAGTTGAGTAAAAAAGTGTGTGTGTGTGTGTGTGTGTGTGTGTGTGTGCGCGCGCGCGCATGTGTGTGAGAGAGAGAGAGAGAGAGAGACTGAGGAACAGAGAGAGATGAACCCGAGAGAAAGAGAACATGAATCCGGATGAACGGTACGTGGGTCTCCATCGGACCACTCTGTTCTGTACGTTTACATGTTCCCAACAGTGTCGGCAGAAAAAACTTTAAGCAACAGAAGCTTGGTCTAGGAGGCAGCCTGACACTCCCCAAGCCTTACGTCCAAGATGCCATCAACCTATCTGCTGTCAACTCCACTGCGTTCTCGGCAGGCGCACCCCGTGAGCCCACTCACATGTAGGCGGACCCTCGGACAGCCACTTAAGCCACAGAGGCAGGGCGTTATCTCGGGGAAACAGCTCTACTTACCAGGACATTTTTTAGCTTGATATCACGGTGCACGAGTCCCTGGCTGTGCAGGAAGCGGATCCCTTCCACCACATCTAGTGCTATCTGCAGACGGGTCTCCAGCGTCAGCCCAGCCTTGGGGAGACAAAAGGGCTCACTCGTCACTAACAAGACAACTCCTCAGTCCAGCGTGCTTAAACCCACTAAGAGCTCCTTCTGCGGGGCACTGCGAGGCAGCCGGTGCTGGGGCACACAGAGGACAAGGGCAGAGAAGCAGGTGGGAAGAAAGGAAGAGGAAAGCAGTTAGAAGGAAGCCGAGGGAAAGCAAGGAAGGACAAGCTGTGAGGCCTGATAACACCCCTCGGAGGCCGCATGCAGTGGCCGGATGACCCCACATGGCACTAGAGGTGGCGCAGGCCAACACCTGGAGGCATGAGCTCATTTCCAAGCCCTGAACAGACTCTGGAACTGCCCTTGAGGCTCAAAGTAGTTCTAGGTCTCGGGGTGCCTGACCGGCTCAGTCGGTAGAGCATGTGACTCTTGATCTCAGGGTTGTGAGTTCCAGCCCTGTGTTGGGCGTAGAGATTATTTTTAAAAAGTTAAAAAATAAAAGTATTAGAAAAAAAAAAAAAAAGGATTTCTAGGTCTCTCGGGCAGACTGCCTTCCACTGCTTTGTAGGCCTGGTTAGCCCAGGTTTGGCTTTAAGGATTCAAATATCAAAGTCATTCATCTTACTTTTACCATGCCTCCAACTTAGGGCCTCTTGAGTTCCAGAGAACATTACATCACTCATCCAGAAGCTCAGCCCACTTGTGGGAAAGCATCAGACAGTGCTGAGCCTAACTCCTCTGAAATGAAGAGGGAGAGCCAGTAGGAGAGTCATTTCCTCCACCCTACTGATTTCTCATGGCTCTTGCAATCATTTCTAAGGATTCCCGTCTTCTATCCAGAAGCTTCCAGGTAATCTGTGAGAAGGGACCTACCCAGATACTCAATGATTAGCTTCCCCCGTCCCACTCTGCCCCCATGTAGGGACCAGACAAAGGAACGTCTCCATGTCCCTTGTGGTTGCTTTGGGTGCGGGAAATTCGACATCCATCTGAGGGTACTGCACCTTCACTCAAAATCTTTCAACAGCGGGGTGCCCGGGTGGTTCAGTTGTTAAGAGTCTGCCTTCAGCTCAGGTCGTGATCCCAGGGTCCTGGGATTGAGCCCCTCATCGGGCTCCCTGCTCAGCAGGAGGCCTGCTTCTCCTTCTCCCACTCCCCCTGCTTGTGTTCCTGCTCTCACTATCTCTCTGTCAAATAAATAAATAAAAATCTAAAAAAAAAAATATTTCAACAGCATTTCATGATGTACAATGAAATTTGAATTCTATGGAAATTCTTAATTTTGGTGTTCTGTACTTTCTTCTCAACATTTTTTTGCACATCATGCACCTCTATTCCCAGACAGCTGTTCCAACATACTAGTGTCCTTCAAATTCTCTGGGCATTATGCTATTCCTTCCTGCTGGGACAGCCTCTTCCTTCTACCTGCCCAAATTTTACCCATCAAGGTGGATTTATCACACTCAAAACACCAAATCTTAATGAAATATTCACCAACAGCAAGTCTCTTAAAAGCTTCTAGCAGTTGCACTTTTTTTTTTTTAAGTAAGCTCTATGCCCAACATGGGACTTGAACTCAGGACCCCAAGATCAAGAGTCACATGCTCTCCTGACTGAGTCAGTCATGTGTCCCTCGCAATTACACTTTTTGATATCCCCTTATGGTGCTTAACACAGGGTCTTGTACAAAGTAGTCACGAATAAATATTTGTTGACTAAACAACAAACACTGGCTGTATCCATCAAGAGCAAAAAAAGAGGAGAAACAGCAAAGTTACAGGACACCTTTCTGCTCTTCTGAGTCATCTAGATTTTTACCACCACCACAAGAGGTAAGAGTGGTATTCTAGATATAAACTGGGCCAAAAAATCGATTCTGAGAAATGTTTAAGGTTTTTTGGAAGTAAGGGTAATAAAGCTTGATTATTGCCCGAAAATGTCCTGTGAAAGCCAGAAGGTCTGGATGAACAGGAACAGAAGACAGGCCGGAGAGGACCCTGCGGGTGTGGCTGCCGGCGGCGCCGCAGCCCCCTCTTCCTGCCTCACCTTCAGCCCAGTGTACAGGTCCCGGCGCAGCCTCTCCATGATGAGCAGCACGGCGACGCTGGAGCCCCCGCCATAGCCGTAGTCGATGACCGAGCCGTGCAGATCCACCAAGCGCTCGTGCTTCGGCAGAGACCTGGTGCGAACGAGAGAGGCCGGGGCTGCAACGCTCCGGCTCCAATCGCGACAGCGTGCTGCCACATAGGCAGGAGTCCCCTGAGACCGCTCTTGTCTAGGGCCGGACGTCATGGCCCTCAGTGCAGAGGGAGGGCCAAGAGAATGGCCCCTCTAACAAGGAGTCGGGATTACGGAATCTGAAGACTGACAGGCCTTCAGGACTAAGAAGTCAAACGGAAGGCAGAGTCTGAGAAATTGGGATGGGAGGGAGAGGGAAGAGACCACGAAGGCCTGCAAGAGAGCACATTTCTGGGCCCAACACGGGAACACTGGCTACAACATCTGCGGACACAGGCACGGAGAGCCACGGCGTGCTGCAGCTCTTGGTACAAAATTCGTACCAGGCTTCTGGCTTCTTCTCTGGATCCTCTCCCATAGAGATGAATGACAGGAGAACCTACCTCATGTAGTGGAACTCCAAAGCCAGGTCATTCCAGTGCTTCTCATCCGGAGGGACGACCGACTTGAGGGCACAAGGGAAGTGTCCTCCCCAGTTGTCACACAGGTACACCACACCATACTGGCCCCGGCCTAGCTCCTGTCCCAGTTTAGGTTTACCTATCAAGTATGGACACAGAGATAAGGCAGGAGGAATGAGAACTTGCTGGGCAACCTCCCTAAGACTCTTAGACACGCAGGGCACCTGGCTGGCTTGGTCAGTGGAGCACGTGACTCTTGATCTCAGGGTTGTGGGTTCGAGCCCCACAGTGGGGGTACAGATTACTTAAAAATAAAATCTTGAAGACTGCAGATTAAAAAATATATAAAATCTCTTGTTAAAAAAAAAGATTTTTAGGGTGCTTGGGTGGCTCAGTTAAGCATCTTCTTTTGGCTCAGGTCATGATCCTGGGGTCCTGCGATCATGCCCCACGTCAGGCTCCCTGCTCAGCTGGGAGTCTGCTTCTCACTTTGCCCTTGTCCCCCGCTCGTGCTCTCTTGCTTGCTCTCTCTCTCCAACAAATAAATAAAATCTTAAAAAAAAAAAAAGATTCTTAGATGTGGACCTAGGAGTAGGAAGTCGTAATTATGCTGGGGGGAGAAATTCTGATACTACTGGAAACTAGTAGAAAGTAACCTAACTGCTCCGATTTAAATAAACTTCAGTCATCTTGTCTGAACTGTATAAATAGCAGGACCAAACAGACTTTAGGAATTCAAAAACACATCAGGGGGTGCTGAGGCAGCTTTGCAAGGAAGCAGCTTTAGACACTGGGATTCTCCAAGGTAGAACAGGAGAATGTCAGGTATCCAGAACCTTCTTCCCATCTACTTGGGAAAAACAAGGACTCACGATGCAGCAAGACATCCTGTAAAGAACGGCTTTCCAAAGAAAGGCGAGCCAGGCGTGGGGCATGATCTTTCCGAACCTTCAACCACAGATCCTCTGTTTTCTCCAACCGGCCTGAGTGGCCAGCTTCTAGCTGGGAGGGAAACAGAAAAAAGTCATGTGACTTATCAAGTCCCCAGCTTGGCTTCCTCACCTATTATATGGGGTAACAACAGCTACCTCCTAAGGTAACTACGAGAGTTACACAAGACGTTTGTAACGTGACTGGTACACAGTGAACTCTTGGTAAGCAATAACTGTTCCTCCTGGATGCATACCCACATCTCTGCACCCCACACTCTACACACACATACACACACATGCACGCACATCCACCCGAAGGGGACAAGCAGATGTCACATAACTGTGAACCAGTATGACAGTTACAAAGTCATCCTTTTTCTGACTCATTCCTAAAATACTAAATAACTTAAATAAAATTCCTACCCCCTTTTTTTAAAGATTTTATTTATTTATTTGACAGAGAGAGACACAACGAGAGAGGAAACACAAGCAGGGGGAGTGGGAGGGGAAGAAGCAGGCTTCCCGCGGAGCAGGGAGCCCGATGCGGGGCTCGATCCCAGGACCCAGGGATCATGACCTGAGCCGAAGGCAGACGCTTAACAACTGAGCCACCCAGGCGCCCAAAATTCCTACCCCTTGATTTTCATTCCTCACTCAGTGAAATGGGGAGATATTAACTGAGTTCCCTCCATGTTCCCTGGAGTTAGAAAAATCTCCACATGAAAAATGTACCGATGAAAATTCCCATAATATTATCATTTAATAGCTAGGAAGAAAATAACCGGTAATTTTATAAAAATTATATGAAGAGCAGTGGGCAAAATATTCCCCAGAGGGTAGGTTCCTCTCTCTCTCTTCCCACACACCCACCTGCCGCAAGGAGGCTGCAAAAGCTTCGTGAGAACTGTTGAGCCGGGTCCGGAACTGGCTACAGATGCTCTTGGCCAACTTGGAGGCACTGAGGCTCTCGATGGCTTCCTGGGCTACCTTTCTCTTCCATTCCAGCGTGATGGCAGGTGGGCTCACCCATGTGATGCGCTGTATGATCTGCAGGATGAGGTCAGTGAGAACACTCAAGGGTGGGAGACAGGAACCACCAGAAAGAACCAACAACCCTTCCCCTTGGGGCTAGCCACTAGTTAGGAGCAGGCTGTGAAGAAAGGAGCCACGTGATGGCTAAGACCCCTCTCCCATTCCATCGACCTCAGAATCAGGGCTCAGACCAAGGGAAAGCATCAAGGAACACTAGGCCCAGTCTACGTGCTCACAAGCCCTCACCATGTACAGTTAGTGCCAGGGGTGCCTGAGAATTCTCTTTCTGAACTCAGTATGGAAAAAGAGCCACATCAAATTCAGGAAAAGAAACCACACAAATGGCCTCTGGCAACAAAGCCTGGGTCTGAGAAAACATTTAAGCTGGGAAAAAGGAATACGAAGAAGCTGGTGAAGGAGAGTTTTATGGCTGCATAAAATTTCATTTAAACACTCTATTTTAAGCATTAAAGGGGCACTGCTCCTTATTATTTCAGAATAGGCACAAATCAGAACTCTCCCAGGCAGACAAACCAGGACAAATGGCCACCCTACACCCTACACCTAGACATCAGTCACTTTTAGTGACTAAGGTTCATCTGAGCCAACGAGGGGCGGAAAATGTTTCTCTACGGAAGCTCCACCTGTTTGATTTGCTCCCATAGCATCCTTGTAACCGAGGACCCTGAGTGAAACGTAACTTCAACGTGATAAGCGGCATTTAAGATCTGAAAGAGAACACACAAAAGAAAATCAAGATGCCCTGAGCAGAGTGGCCGATTAAAAAATGTGATAAATATTTACTTAAAGCACAGAGTCCTGTTTCAAGGTTCCCAAATATATCCTTCCATAAACGTGTAGAGTCTCCATGGGTTGATCATCTATTTTGTGACTCTTTGGGCCCCTTTACTTACATCTTCACCGTCCTGCATGTTGCCTTAACTGCGATTTTGCAGTTCACAAGCACCTCCGATGGGTAGGGGTCGTGTGATGGGAAAACTAAATAAAATTCCAACCAGATGGGCAAAACGGTGAAAGGGAAATTCTTGGCTAGCTTGAGGTCAGGCTTGCGTGTGGGCTCTGTTTCCTGTGTTATCTGTGATGTGGTGTCTAACCGGTCTTCGAGTACCTGTTTGAGATAATTACTGGTGATGTGAACAGAGACGTCCTGGGACTTCTCCAGGCTCTGCAGACAGCGTTCCAGGGTCCCGACGAAGCTCTCACGCAGGTAATCCACTGAGCTGATCAGCTTGTTAGCCACTGCCTGATTGAGCCGGGAGATGATGAGCTCCTGGATCTGCCGGATGCAGCATTTGATTTCTCTGGTGCCCACTGCCTCTCCATTCTCAGGGACAATAACATCTATGGAGGCAGAGAGAGAAGCCAGCTGGCTGTGAGGGGAAGGGGCAGGCACTCAGAATAAAGGTCTCTCCCCATCAAAGCCAAGGAGCTGCCATGACTACGGCTATAAAACACATGGCTGGCTGGCGAACTCTGACCCTCAGCATGATCCGGGGCCACACGGTCCTCTACTGCTAGGGCATCTAAGAATCCTGAGCGGGAGCAACTGTGTCCAGAATGAACCTATTGATTTTGTCAGCTTTTATGTCACATTTATGGGACAGGGGGAATATTTATTGAGTGCAATTTGAGAGGCACCATAATTAGTATTTTATATATGTAATCGAATTTAATCCTCATGATAACTTTGTCAGGTGGGTATTACTGGTGATATTTTATAGATCAGGAAACAACCTCAAGGAGAGGACAGAGGGGGCACTGGGAAGGGGACGGTACAGTTAGGAAGGACGACAGCTAGCACCTAAAACCCAAGCTCATGGACTGCCTTGGATCTTTGTAATATTTCACACTGCGGAACTCCTGGAAAAATCCAAGAGTTGGGGATTTGATGCTAATCAATTACTAAATAAAAAGTAAGCCTGAAATGTTGTCGCCAACCTGCTACTACTTCCCAGAATTAGAAATCTGTTCTGCAAGTCAGAGGACAGACCTTAAGAGAAGACAAATTACCTGCAAAAACTCCACTCCTAAAAAGGCACTCTGATGTCTACTCTGGGAATTTAAATTGGTGCCACCTCTTTAGAGGAAATCTCATAATATCTACCAAAAAAATTTTTTAACCTATCAAAATTTTAAACTAACCAACCAACAAACAAAAATATCTACATAGCCTTTGACCTAACTATTCTGCTTCTAGGAACTGTTTTTCTAGAAATATACCTTTACAAGCCCCAAAGATATGCATGTAAATGATAACGCAGTAGAGTTTGTAACAGCAAAAAAGAAAAAAGAAAGAATGAGCCTAAATGTCCATCAGTAGGGGTATAGTTGAATAAAATCAGGTACATCTGTTAGAAGAAGACAAATCCATGTGTACATTTATGGGAAGATCTCTACGATATGAGATCAGTGAAAAAGCAAGGGGCAGAAGAACACATGGAGGAAAACTAGGTGGCTGGAGGACAGTATCTTTGTATCTCTGAGTGAAGTACTATGCATGTAGGTATTATCTTTAAAAAAAAAAGTATTTTCTGAAGTATGTATGTAATGCATTACCTCTATTTTATTTTTTTAAGATTTTATTTGAGAGAAAGAGCGAGAGCACGCACATGCGCACGAGCAGGGGAAAGGGCAGAGGGAGAGGGACAAGTAGACTCCCCACTGAGGGGGGAGCCTGCCATGGGGCCTGATCCCAGGACCCCGAGATCATGACCTGAGCCCAAGTCAGACAGACGTTTAACCGCCTGAGCCACCCAGGTGCCCCACGTTACCTTTATTTTAAAACAAAAACCAATACCAGAAATCCAGCTCCTTAGGTTACATGGTAGCTCTCTTCTAAATCTACTTACCATTGCCTCAAGGATCCCCAGAAAGAACTTAGAACAAGGTTAGTCCCATCTAATACACAGCTAACTCGCAAAGTGGCTTCACAAACCCACCATGTAGTTAACAGAGCCAGATGTCTGATCTACTTGTTCCCAGCTCCCCCTGCGTCTGTTGAACTAACCACTGCGTCCCAGGTACCAGACATGGTATCCCTGGCACATGATAAACAATCAAATATTTCACAGACTGCCCAACCTGCCTGCGCTGCCCCCTTTATCCTGTGCGCTGTGATGCCGACGCTGACGCCCCAGCACCCTAAGTTGGTCACCTGCCTGCGCTGCCCCCTTTATCCTGTGTGCTGTGATGCCGACGCTGACGCCCCAGCACCCTAAGTTGGTCAGGGGCCTTCTTAGGATCTCCGCTGCAAGTCCTCCCCACACTGGGAATTCACCGGAGTTACCTTTGCTCATCTTTAGAAAGACCTATAAGAAATAAAGCTTCCTGTGCTTGCTAAAGTGGACTCTGTTTCCTCTGTGTAAGTGTGACACAGCCATATACCAAAATTCACATACTCACTCAAACTCCCATGAGGTAGTGCACACATCTGTGTGAACTGCTGTAGGAGATATGATGATAAACAAGACCCTATTCTCCTTCCTCTCTCAGATTTTAGAAAACACTCAGAAGAACATAAACAATTGTAATAAAAGAAAATGAAATATGCCAGAAATTTCAGGTACGCATGAAATGCAGTGGGAGTTCAGATGGATGTGATATCTATTAGCTAAGAAAATTAAAGACACCTTCATGAAAGACGTTATTTAGAAGAAGCCTTGAAGGGTAGGTAGGATTTGGAAATTCACAAATAAAAGACTTTTTGGGTTTAGGGCAGGGCAGGAGTAAAGAAAAAGCAAAAGAAGAGATGGAGGACAGCAAGCAGCTGAGAGCAAGAGAAAGTGAAATTAGCAGAAGGTGCCTAGTGGGAAAAAGGACCAGGAAAGTTGGTCAGGGCTAGGCTTTGGAAGATCCTTACCACTAGGCTAACAAGTCTAAACTTAGTCTGTAGGAACACAGAACCAATGCAGATGAACTGGAGAAGGGAGAGAAAGATGTCTGGAAGAACAATAGGTAGCTAGGAGCTATAGGGAGAGCAGTAGCTCAGGTGGACTGAGGAAGAGGGAACAGAAAAGCAAAGGTAGATATGAAATATGGAAGAAGACACATCAGAACTTGGCCGCTGACCGGATGTGGGGACAAGGGAGAGCAAAGAGCTGGAGACCATGCTCAGGTTCCGAAGCCGGTTACTAGGAAGACGGCGGCGGCAGTAACTGGGAAGAGATTCAGAGGCAGTAAAGCATGGAAATTCAGAGTATGGGCTCAGGTATCAGAGTGCTAGTTTCAAACTCTTGCCTTTACTCTTCAGTACCTGTGACCTTGAGCAAATTACTTAACCTGCCTAAGCCTCAGTTCTCTCATCAGGAAGATGGCAATATGCAGAATCTACGGAGGGACTGAGAAAAAACTGATGCGAGGTCCCACGTCAGAAATTCTGATTAATCGGTCTGGAGTGCTCTGGGGTGATTTCAAACATCTATTTTCAAAAAGCCCCCCAGGAGATCTGGATGTGCAGCAATGATTGAGAACCTCAAGGTAACTTGCAAACCACATCACTGTTCTTAATGGGTGGTAGGGCTAACGTTCCTACAGGGAGGTTTACAGAGTAGTCAGTATACAAAGTCAGCCACATCAAGACCTCAACCCCAAAAGACCTGACGGATCACTTTGGTCCAATTTTGTTAATAGCCACTCATGAAGAATGGACTTCCAGAAAAGTTGTAAACACAACTTTGGGAAATACTCCTGAGCTGGGTTTCAGGAGCAGCTTGGAAAGAAAACGAGACCAAAGCACACAAAAAAGAACCAATAAGGAAGCACGGGCCATGCTGAAGGTTAAAGCCAAGGTTAAAGCATGACTTAGTAATGCTCTTCAGGCAGCTCTTTTCCAGCTCCGTCAAGGTCAAGGGGATATAGATATAAACTGGAAATTTAAGAGCGCTATTAGGATGAACTTACCAGAAGCTGGACTACCAGTCCCAGGAAGGAATGACAGTGGAATCTTCCAGGAAGGCCTCTGAGAAGAGAGGCCACTCTGGCTAAGTGATTTAAGGTGGGCTCCTACTCATGACAGTTGGGTAGACGAGATGTTCCTGAGCTGCCTTTGGCCTTTGGAATTCATGGGACTCAGTTTCCAGCTAAGAAAGGGTTAAAGAACCCTGTGGTCCCAGCAGCCCACACCAAGCTCTCTAGACCTACCTTTAAATTCCATGCTGGCAGCATCATCCAGAAGTTCCTCCTTCATGGTGTTAAGCGTCTCAACAATCATGTCCTTCATTTCCTCCTGCTTTCGGTTAGCAATATTCATCAGTGATTCGTACAACTCATTTTCCTTTTTTCGAGTATATTCCAGACGTTTGGGAGTGATCTGTAGGTCCCGCTGCATGTCAAAGGCCTGGTTAATAAAGATGTCGAGGCAGAGACAATGCACCCGGTTCAGGGCCTTGGCTGCGTCCACCAGGCGAGTCTGTAGCACCTGCTGGGAAAATGTGCTCAAGTGCCTCAGTTTCTCACTTTGTTCCACCAACATGCTCTGAGCTTTAGTGTCTTGGCCAGGGGTCCCACAGTTGCAGTGACTGCTACTCAGGTAGCCCAGGCCCATCAGCTGGTGATGGAGGGCTGATCTTTCACTCTCTATTCTTCTGGTACATGAGGCAATGATCTCCGAGCCCAGCTGCGGCACTTTGAAAAAGAATACGGGAAAGGAGAAATACTTTCGGATTTCCTGAAGCTCTTGCTCGTCCCTCTCAGACAGTTCGTCTTTGTGGAGTGCATAGGTTATCACAGGCAAGAAATCGTTCACCAAGTCACCCAGAACATCCACTGCAGGCCGGAGGCCTTGGCACGGTGCTACCACAATGTCCACATCCTGGAAGGGGAAGGGGGGTCATATCAGCACTTCGGGGTCAGAACCAATCCTTGCCTCCCCAAAGTCCCACAATGAGACCAAAATCCAGATCTGTGACGGGGCAGTGGGACTTCGGTACGCCCCAACGACTTGCCCACCTCCTTCCCTGAGTTCCCAACACTCCCTGCCACAGCCTAAGAGGCAGGCACTCATCTGGAGTGAGTGAGAAAACAGTCTGTAGAAAGGCTGGCAGATAAAAAGACTTTAGTTCCTGGCTTCCTTCGCTGTTTGGAAACCCACTGATGGCCTCCGATGAAGGAGTAAGACAAATAATGGAAGGAGAAAGAATTAATGTGGACATGATCAGATCGGGATTGAGGCTGCCTGGAACATTCCTCCCACTCTCCTCTTTGCTCATCTTCCCAGCCCCACCCTTCTAAAGTGGCTAACTCCCAGGCTAACTCCCAAGCAGCTTTCCAATCTCCCTGTGTATTCCTATCATGCTCTTAAGTGAGTCCTTCCTAGTACACAATCCCAAGCACTCTCTACTTCTCCTTTCCTTAATGTTCAACACATTTATAATGTATTTATTTCGAACCCATTTTTCGGGGTACCTGGGTGGCTCAGGTGGTTGAGATTCTGCCTTTGGCTCAGGTCATGATCCCAGGGTCCTAGGATCGAGTCTGCATCAGGCCCCTTGCTCAGCGGGGAGCCTGCCTCTCTCTCTGCTTCTTCCCCAGCTTGTGCTGCCCCCACCACCACAAATAAAATCCTTAAAAAAAATAAAAAATAAATAAAATCCATGTTTCCCCAATAGCCTGTCAACCCTTTGAGGGCAGGGACCATGTCTACCTTGTTAACTATGGTAATTCCAGTGCCTAACATATAGCCCTCACTATTGTTGAATCAATCAAGGAGCAAATTAAAACCAGGTTTGCCAAACATTACTGTCCTGTTCTAAAAGTTTGCAGGTATCCCAAAGTCTTAGCCGCCAAAGTCCTGGTAATACCTTTATTCTCGTGATCACGTGGTATGACAGAGACTAAGGTTTGCCTATCCAATGTTTACCCTCTGCATTATTGGGAAGGCAATGGCCTTTACAGACAAGGCTGCCCGGTAAGTGCATGGGGCTTTCAGGATGGTTCTTTAGAGGGGGTGCAATTCTACCAGGAAGTATGCTCTTTGGCCTCACCCTTTTCGCCTACAGCCCGAAAGCAAACCTGAGGGTAGAAGCCAGCATTGAGGATGATGAAGCAAAAAGAAACAGGGGGCCTGGGTCCCTGGTGACAGCAGAGTGGGCACACCAGTCTGGCTTCAGACTCCTTTCATGTGAGGGAAAAAAAATTAACTTCTATCTTGTTTAAGCAAGCGCATTTTTCTGATCGTCTGTTACATATGATTGAACCCAATCATAACTCATACACCCAAGGTCTTTTTTTTTTTTTAAGATTTTATTTATTTGACAGAGAGAGACACACAGTGAGAGAGGGAACACAAACGGGGGAGTGGGAGAGGAAGAAGCAGGCTTCCCGCCGAGCAGGGACCCTGATGCGGGGCTCGATCCCAGGACCCTGGGATCACGACCTGAGCCGAAGGCAAGACGCTTAACAACTGAGCCACCCAGGCGCCCCCATACACCCAAGATCTTAAAGTGAGTTTCAAGAATGATCTTTGGTTTAGAAACAAACCTCTACAGGTCCTTTTCTAGCCAATAGTTTTTGCTTTGTGTTCTACTTCTTTCCTGAGGATCCTGAGGCACTTAGAGAGCATATGTTTCCATCCATGGCATAGGCTGCTCTTCTCTATCTTTGAAATTGTCTACTCTGCCTGGCATTCCAGACCTAAGGGTCGACCAGGAGGCTCATACCTGTATCACCATTGTAGGCACACCAAGGGGATGTCTTCAGGGACCCGCAAACTCAAAATCAATCCTCCACGGAATTCTAACACATTTTACAGAGTTGTAAAAGAATTCAACACAAACCTGTTCAAGTTTGTGTCCTTAACATTTATCAGATGTTGCAAATGTACTTTATTTGAAATGTAAAAAATATGCAATTTGTTTTCTTTCGGGCTTATATTGTTTTCATTCCTTACCCTATTGAGTAGCAGGTATTTTTGATGAAAAAAAAATTTTAAATAAAAACCTGGGACCTTTTCCTTTTTGATCTCCTTGCCTAGATAAGAAAGGGCTGGGAAATGCCAGCCTATTATTTCTTGTACTGTGTGTGTGTGTGTGTGTGTGTGTGTAAGAGAGAGAGAGATCTCCCATCCCCAGAAAAGTTTTACAAAGATCTCATCTTCCCTAATAAAGAATTAGCAAGTTTAATTCTCAGGTAGATCACAAAACTATTATTTGGCCACTCTGAACTCTCTAAAGCTAAAAGTGCTTTTAGCATCTCACCATTTCTAATTTGAGCAAACACTGAAAATCCGGCTACTTTCCATCCAAGTCTAGGCCAAAAAGAGATCTGCTATTTCATCTATGCCTTGAATTGCATGAAATGTTTTCTGGTCGGTAGACTAGTTGACACTCACCCCACTGTTCAAGACAAACCCCCTTCACTACACTGAGTCACAATGCTGGAGTATGAATCACTTCATGAGGCATATTCAAAAAGTGGGTAAGAACTTTTATGGCTTAGAGTAGAACACACAAATGCCTAAATACCAACATTATAATACATATAATAATTTAATAAAGACTAGGAGAGAATCCCAAGAAATGAAAAGTTATAGTAAGATAGAGAATTACAGGTGAACATGTTTTTAAAAATATGTATTTTAAAGTTGCAAACCTCTCTTAAATATATGCATTTTGAAAGATATAAACCAACCAAACTTATTACAGGAATATCATGAGAAAAAAGCCTAAATATGCAAAACCAAAGTAAGAGTTCTTTGAAAATCGTCAGGAATAATTTTGTTTGCTTGTTTATTCTAAATTCTAAAATAAATTCACAGGGTTTCCTCAAAGAACCATTTTGTGTGTGCAAGAAAACCAAAAGCTGTGGGGTCCACTTGCAGAACCAATATCCTTCCTAGGAGACTGCTGACTTCATTTGCTCACAGGTGCAAATTCATTTTTTAAAGGCTTCAGGGCTTTCTAATGGTAGATACCACCTGATATACTGGCAAATAGGAAGAAGTTGTCCACTCCTAAATATATCCTGTACTAAACAAAAATGGATAGACAACAAGTACGATGCTCTCTCTCTCCTCCATTCCCCAGGTAGTCTCACCGCGCCGATGACCGTGCGTGCGGGAGAGAGGCAGAAAGAGCTGCCTGCCTGACATCCTGGCAGCAACACAAACCAGGCTGGAATGTGCTGTGTGATTCTGTGACACTTACGGTGAAGGGATGACTCATCTCTGACAGTTATAAACAAAAAGGGAAGCCAGCACTGTCTCCTGGAGAGAGGGAGTGAAAAAAGTCATCAGTAATATATAGAGGAGGAGCCAGACCTATTGTGGCTCCCTGAGAGGGAAGTCTGACCTCAGATGGTTTCGTGGAAGGCTATCTGCCTTCCTAGGACCTAGAATGGCACTTGGCACTTTGTGAGCATCCAACAAATACATGTGGAATGAATGGATGAATAAATGAGGCCTTCACTACCTGCTCAAAACCATTTTCAATAATCATATGTAAAATTTCCTATCTTTCAACCCATATCCCATACATTTAGCTCTGATTTCTGTTTGCCTCTACTCCAAGAATAAAGCAGTGAGTAAGCATTTTGCTCCTAACTCAATCAGGGAAAAAGAATCTCAGGGAATAATGAGAGTATCCCCAAAATTCCCACTGGGAGTCACAGTGAATTCCTAAAGAGACTTCTCTTGTAGAATGAGTTCTGCACAAATCTACAGAATCGATAGAAGTTGGTGTGCTAACCATCAGTTTTCTCTGCAAGATCAAGAGAATGAACAGGAGAGTGTTACTCTGCAAACACCAGCTTAGGTTTTGTCTTTGGTGTAAGATGATACTGTGTTAAATGCCAAGAAATGGCTCAATCACTGAAGAAGCCTGACCACTTCCTAAGAACACTGGCTCTTACAGCTCCTGGCACATCCCTGAAACTCAGTTCTGGCCAAGAATGAGTATACTAACTGATGGTTCAAGCAGAAGACAGCCATGCTCTCAGGAAGGTCACAAAGGTCTTCACTTTCTCTACAGTTCTGAAGCCTCAGGTTCACATCACACCGAAAAGAAGTACACGCCTATGTAACATAGCTCTGCCCAAGCTCAGCAACAAATCCCGTCTCGACCTCAATCCCTGTCCCCATATCTACCTACCTACCTTTACTGTCCATTCACCTCCCACGTCATTCTCATGGGGCAGTCCAGAGGTTTTTCCTGTTTGTTTTTACACAGGTTGATTCTTCTTCATTTCTACGTGATTCCCAGAAGGATCATTCTTAAACGTTAATTACATATTAAGGAAAATACCTCTCCGTTCTTGTTACATTGTAGAAAATATCTGGCTGAATACATACTGAATAGCCTCTATGCAATCTACCTTGCAGCTATTCAAACATCCAGTACCCAGAGATACAGACAAAAGCAGGAATCTGAAGCTTTATTCTCTTGTCACTTACTAGATTCATCAAAGCAGAGAGATGAAGTAGTAGAATGGAGAAGAGAGAAGGCAGAAGGGAAAACTTTACCTTTTAACTTTATAACTTTAACTTTTGTCTTATTTAGCTTTTAATAACATCTTTCTCTTCTTCCATTACAAAAGAACCTCTAAAATGAATGATGAAGAACTCTGTGTCTAACTGGAGCAGAATAATGACAATAAGTAAGTTGGAACCAGAAGGACTTAGATGTTTGACAAAAGGAAGGCCTTCCACCATGGCTGTCAGGGAAGGGATTGGTGACTGAGAGAGGGGGAAATTCTCTTCTCAAGGATGCTGATTAATACATTCAAAGGGAGGAGGGAACTGGCTTACTCCGTGCCAGACACTGTGCTAAGTCCTCACACACACCCTCTCACTGAGGCCTCCCACCAGTCCTAGAAGATATGGATCGCTACCCCCATCTTGCACAAGATGGAACCAGCCCAGTCACCTGGTCAGTGAACTGACAAAGCCAGGATGTAAATCCAGGTCCGCCTGACCACAAAGAGCACACTTTAACAGTTACTGAATGTCCACGGTTTGTCAGCAACTGTCTGGGCTGATGTTGGGCAAGTTCTGAAAGATGAATAAAGGATGGACAAGATAACTTTAGGGATCCTGACAATTCTAGTGTTCCAGGTTAAAAAGTATATCCTACGAAGGAAAGGCTCTGCCATGAAACAAACTTGCAGGGACTGGTTGAGATACCATGAAAGAAGTCAAAAAAGAGAACATTTTTAATAGCCCAAACAACAGAGTTTCTGCCTGGTGACAGTACTTTCAACCCCTGAGTCTCTGAATTCCCAATCCCCACCATCCTCGACTCCAGGTGAAACACACACAGATCTTTGACATAGTGAAAACAGGGAAGCCTCTGGGTGTAAGAAAGGGGGCAGGGGGCTGGGTGGCTCAGTCAGTTGAGAGTCTGTCTTCAGCTCAGTCATGATTCCAGGGTCCTGGGATCGAGCCCCACATCGGGCTCCCTGCTCGGTGGAGAGCTTGCTTCTCCCTCTTCTCCTGCCTGTGCTCTCTCTCCCTCTCTCTCTGACAAATAAATAAAATCTTAAAAAAAAAAAAAAAAGAGGTAGATGGGATTCTAGAAAAGAGACAAAAGAGGAAGATTAAGACTATAATCTCTGCCAGATTTTCTCCCCAAGAGCTAACCTTGGAAGGCCACAAATGAATCCTGGTGGTGAACTGAGAAAACAGCCTCAGATTCAAGCTATTCTTTTTACTTTTATCTTAGTGAGCATGGGGATTAAAAAAAAAAACTTGCCTCTAAACCACCCACCATCCTCAATAGGTAAATTACACTGCACTAGGTATTTGCAGGTTTCTTGGCCAAGAGCAACACATGCAGATATGCAGGATGCTTACATTCCACTACACCTGTTAGTGTGTTAGGGGAGAGGCAAGAGAGATGTTAAATATGAAGGGTACAGGCTCGCTGCCTAGAAAGAATTTATATTTTCGCATTTGCCTGGACTTCTGATACCCTTCTTTAAGATAACACTTTAGTTCCCCTTTTTCTTTGCCCCATAAAATCATGGTTTCTTTACTGTAATTTTATCTCCAGAGTGCCATTCTCCATCTTATACATGTTATCCCAACTTTGGGTCTTTTTCCTTAGAATGGCCATTTTTGACCCAATTCCATATACTATCTCCCCCTAACGATTATCTTTTTGCCCTGAGGACCTTTACCCAGCCTTCTTTCCGTTTTGTTACAAATCAACTGTTATCTTTCAATCTAGAGACATTCAAGATAAGATATGGTATCTAAGTAAACCTGAACCACACACAAAAGATTTAGTTTTATAAGGCATCATCATAAATGCCAAAAACGAGACAAAAATTGAGAGAAGCTAGTTTTCTAGCAACAAACAGTATTTAGTAAATTTGGGGGCTAAAATTTTGCAGAAACTTTTGTTATTTTTAAGTAAAATCCTTTAATGATTTTGGGTTGTGAAAGTGTTAACTGCTGAGAAATTAAAAACACCTGGGTCTGTATGATATTAAAAATAGATTTCCATTGCTAGCGATTGACTGAGACTGACTACTCCAACTGGTTAGAGTTAAAAATAAAGTTTATTGCAAGTCATCAGACCTCTCCTGGAAACATTATAGTCCACCTCAGTTCCCCAGGAAAGATACCCCATCAGACACCATCCTGAGCCAATGACTGTGTCCGCGTGTGGCAGTCTGGCCGTCAGGCAACACGTACGTTTGTCCAAAGGGTGGAGATAAACAGGCCAGCAGAAGAACCGAAAGCTCTGTCAGCACCACCACGAGTGAAACACCGGCCAGGCTGCAGGAGTCCCACCTCAGACTGCAAGAGTTTAATCCTCTTGGCTCCTTGCTACTCCTTTTCTCATAGGTGTTCACAGGAAAAATACACACACACACACACACACACACACACACACACACACACACCCCAGACTGAGGCAACTCCAAAGCAGACAGCCGTGTTCCCCCGGACTGATGAGAGGAGGTGGGGGTATGCATGCCACACAGCAGGGGAGGGTAGAGAAGGGGAGGCGTGTGAGTGGAGACAGACCTGGTGAAATGTGTTGCCAATGGGAAAATTACTATGTTTTAACAATAACAGAGGTTACGGAAACTAACAGTTTGATGTTGTTCCTCTGAGAATCTCAGGGGACCCAGAGCTAAAAAGGTGGGAATACCAAGCACTGTGGGTCCATGTGGGTCAGCCTATTCTGGAACACACTGAAAGTGGCTAATTTATGAGGACTTTAAAGCACCATATTAGAAGAATGACCATTGTATAAGAGGGTAGGGGAAACTCTGCTTTGCTAATCTGACAGTTGAAAATGAATAACTCATTTCCCCTAATTCAGTCTTGGTTTCCTTGAGCCAAGTTTTCCTTTCTTTACCAGCCCCTTTGCAAACCAAATGGAAGGGCTGTTTGGAGCTAACTCACTGGTCCTAAATATAACTGGAGCTAAACAAAAAGATCTTTTTCACCGGCACACAAATCTTCAAGGTAACTGGGAAGCGCCCCCAGCAGTGAGCTCCTGAAACCGAGGCCACAAATGCAATGAAGCCAGGAGCCTGACTGTGGTGGCCCAGCAGGGCCTGAGCTCCACAAGGGCTCCTAAGGACACCTGAGGCATGGCATCAAGGGGTTCCAAACTTAGAACCGTTGGGGTCCGTTGTTATTTCTACATCAAAACCACTGGAGAATAAAGCAGATCCGGAAAAACAAGGGCTAAGGAAGCCTCACAAACCACATGAAACAGAATGCAAGAGGCTAGAGAATTCCTCAAGACAAGAGAGTATTCCTCAAGAAAGAAAACACATATTTCACCTGTGGAGAGAGAAAGCTGATTTGGTACCTCCACTTCCCAACCAAGTAGCCCCCCCTCACCTGTTACCTCAGTGGAGTGCTTAGCCCATGTCGGGAGCAACCAGGCGAGCTCTCCCCAGTGAGGGTGCACTCCGCTGTGCGCACGGGGGACGGCTCTCACTTTCCTGCCTGGCACTTGCTCAAACTGCCTCAATTCATGCAACAAAAGTAAATGAGCATTAAAAATTAAAGCCAAAAAAATGAAGGGACCCAGAGAAATCAATCCAGTCATGTGCCTCTCCTGCACATGGCTCTGTTCACAGTCCAAGATTGTTTTTAAAAGGCAAGAACAGGAAGAACTGCCACCTGACCAATAGCAGTCAGACCAGCTATTTAACAGTGTTTTTTAAGCTGCAGGTTAGAGTGTAGCAGCTCACAGCATCAATTTAGTGGGTTGCTACCATCAGTTTTAAAAAATGAAATCAAATAGAAAAGAGAAGACGATAGTGTGTTTTACAAAAAGTAAAAGTATTGTTTCATGAAATGTTATTTCTATGTGTGTAGGGACACTTCGGTGGCTCAGTCGGTTGGGCATCTGTCTTCGGCTCAGGTCATGATCCCAGGGTCCTGGGACTGAGTCCTGCGTCAGGCTCTCTGCTCAGCGGGGAGTCTGCTTCTCCCTCTACCCCTTCCCTCTGCTTGTGTTTTCTCTCTCTCTCTCCCAAATAAATAAATAAAATCTTTAAAAAAAAGTATGCGTGAACAGGAGAGGAAGAAAAGGGGAGTATGTCAGAGGGGGAGACGAACCATGAGAGATGATGGACTCTGAAAAACAAACTGAGGGTTCTAGAGGGGAGGGGGGGAGGGGGATGGGTTATCCTGGTGATGGGTATTGAGGAGGGCACGTTCTGCATGGAGCACTGGGTGTTATGAACAAACAATGAATCATGGAACACTGCACCAAAAACTAATGATGTAATATATGGTGATTAACATAACAATAAAAAAATTTAAAAAAAAAGTATACGTGTATATATGTACTAGGTCCTGATACAAAATGTTATTTCTTACAGTGAAATTCTTTATATATGTGTATATATATGTATATGTGTATTTTTTTTTAAAGAAGGGGCAGGACGTTCTCTCTTTTTTTAAGATTTTATTTATTTATTTGACAGAGAGAGACAGCAAGAGAGGGAACACAAGCAGGGGGAGTGGGAGAGGGAGAAGCAGGCTTCCCGCGGAGCAGGGAGCCCAATGCGGGGCTTGATCCCAGGACCCTGGGACCATGACCTGAGCCGAAGGCAGACACTTAATGACTGAGCCACCCAGGCGCCCCCATATATATAAATATTTTTAAGTAATCTCTACACCCAATGTGGGGCTCAAAGTCACAACCCCAAGATCAAGAGTAGCATGCTCTACCAACTGAGCCAGCCAGATGACCCAGTGAATGAAATTCTAGAAAAGTTTGAAAGCCACTGAACCCCTGGAACCTGAAGGAACCAGATCGGGCCAGTATATCACAGAGAGATTGTGTGTGGCTCAAACACTTATGAACTGTGAAGAAGTTCACGGTCAACCAAGCAGCCTCAGTTAATAAACAAGGATTACTGTCAGAGCTGCGGTCAGAGTTATGCAAGAACCCTCTCAGCATCCTGGACCTAAGGAGTGTGAGCTCTTGGTCTGAAAACAGAGGAAAGCCACTGATGAAACTCTGCTCAGAGAAAGTGCTGGCTTGTGTACATAGCCCCTCTAGCATTTATCAAGATAAAAGAAATGTAGTCTCTGGAAGGAAATAAGATGACAGTTTCTACTTCTAGAGTGTCAAAGGCCATGGCCACAACCAGACTCATTCATTGACTGGGAGATCAGGCCTTTCAGAACAGGGGTAGGTGCAGAGATTATAAGAAAGAAGAAACAAAACTTCCTAGTCCTGCTAAACTAGCCCTTCCTTCCTGGCACGGCTAATCAAGGTGATGGGACTCTCTGTTCCGAGCAGGTCTGCATTTTCATCTTACCCACTCCTGACCCCTGACACAGTCACATTCTTTGTGGATCCCACTCGGTCTAATCACATAGCCCGGTCCCAGCTTATAGAGCAGGACAGGAAGCCTAGCACCAGAGTTGAGTCCTTCCTAAGTGGAGAAATGAGTACCAGATAGTCGATATGACCTCTTGGAAGTCACCGCAAGAGCTGTGCTCTCTCGGGAGTTTACTTTAAGAGAGAAGCCAAGAAGATATCCTTCATGATGACGGGATCTCCGTATCTCCTTACACTGAGCCAGACCTGTCCTCAGGTTCTCCAGTTCCTTAGAAAGTAGGAGACATGCTCTGTCCCACTTAGTAAATAATGGCTAGGTCTAAGGAAAAACTCATAAAATTCTTTACTCGGTCTCAACTCGAGTAAGGGCATTAATAATCCATCATCTTAGCATTCCTTTTAGAAAGGGATGGCTGGAGACAATTCTAGCCATGCCTTCCTGCCGAGAAATGGAAAAGGATTTCTGGCCCTGATCATAATTACTCTGTAAAAGTCTGTCGAGATGCAAGCAGCACATCCCTTCTATCGTAGAAAGGGAGATGGGGGGCAAGGAGATAAGCAAATTGCTCAGGCTCCTGCCACGTGGTAGCAGACTTCCGGACAGGCACTGCTAAGGCCTTGTCTGTTTTTCAACTTCCTAGGTTATGTGCTCTATCAGCTGATGCTCAGAGCCAAGACTGTATGTTGCCAAATCGCTCTGTGAGAAAGCTCAAATACAGGAAAAGCTGGTATATATGTATGCAATTGTATAAATATGAGACTGGTACCTGTAAGAGAGCGTGGTGCATCGTCACCTCCAGTTCGGCTAAAACAGGGGCGGCGTCCTCACCATCGTCTTGGACCTCCAGGTCCTCCTCAGGGATGGTCTCCCAGTTGCCCTGGTGAGCAACCAGCGTGTGCACTAGTTCGTACTGGCCAGGGAGCGCCAGGCTGACCCGAGTCTGAGTCCCATAGGTGAAGCGGAGGCGCCGAAGCTTACAGTTCTCCTCACTGCCCAGCCTGGCCGTGGGAAGCACCTGCACCCCCAACAGCAGGTTCAGCAGCTGGCACTTGACATTACAATCCTGGCCGAGGATCAAGATGCAGGGAAGGCAGTCCACAACCTGCTGGAGGTACTTCTCTTCCTTAGGTGGGAAGGCGATGCAGCTCAGCTGGCCTGGTTGGGGAAGGGGAGGGTGGAGGAGAAAGGAGTACAGAGAGACAGTGAGGAGGGGTAGACAGAGACTTTCCCAGAGACCCAGTCAGGACGGCAGGGCCCTAGGGAAGCAATTTCCAGGAAGCTCTTGGTTGGACGAGACACCAGGAAAACATCTCAGCCAGAAAAGGCTCTTCAAAGATCGAACAGGAGTCCCCTTCCTGGCTTGTCCCCAGAGCAGGTGTCTCTACCTAGAAAGGTGGCAGGGACCTGATCCTTACCCACTCCTTTTGCATGCAGTGCAGGGCCAGCCCAAGGAGTACAACAGGACTCCACCACAATCTCGAGATCCTTAAATTGGCAGAGCCAGAGAAGACTATACAAACTAGGACATGAATCCAAGGAGAAACTGTACCTGAAGATGTCAAAATGAAAACCTTCGTGACAGAACACCTAATACTTGCACACAGAAGGCCCTTTTAAATGGCTCTACCATCTGCAGTTTTAGCTTGTTACTTTCCTCATCTGTGACATCTTTTATAACTAAATGTGTGAACTAATCTTCTCTGTGTATGTGAGAGAGAGCTAATCTTTACATATGCGTACATCAAAATAAAATGTTATTCAAGTTTGCCTTAGTTCTAGAATCTTTTCCAGTTCGTCCCTCTGATAGCTGGTGACAGCATCCCAGCTGCCCTGTCCGTTCTCATATAACTTCGGGTGATCGGTGAGGATCAGTAACTCCTGATCAAGACACATTCCTTCAGTTTACAGAGGACAAGGCGTTGAGTAAGACAAAGGGAAGAACTGCCTGTTAGGAGAAAATCCGGGTAAATCTAGGAGGAATGTGATCTATCTCAGAAACATCCACTCAGGACAACCACGCTCATGTAAATGGCAAGCTTCCACAAACACACCAAGTATCGTTCAAGAGAGAACAAAAAGCTTCTTAAAGGGGCAGAAACCTCTGCCTGGGAAAAGGAACCAGAAATTCATTGACCTGAACCTCTCAGATTCTGAATGCAATCATTCCCGACCTGTTCGGTCCCAGTGCCTGCTCCTGTCTATGATTCAGGCAACCCCTGAGCTTGTTCAGAAAGGCACAGACCCGGAGTTCTTAGGCCGGAAGAAGGCTGATCTCTGGGCCAAATACACCTTTATTGAATTTTGTGTGGCACCAGCTGAAAAGTATTCACTTTAGATTTAGTCACTTCACCGTGCGTGACCTGTTAAGCCATTCGTAAGCTGTTTATTTCGTCCGTGTAAGGGAGGTCTGATTTAAGAGGCTCTTCTGCTTCAGCCTCTATCTATTCTGTTACAAATCCTCAAACCCCCTTCCCGTCCACAAACGGCACCACCAAAAGGTTTCAAGAAGGTTTTGCTTTCGCCCAAACCCCTCTGTGCGTTTCATTAAGCCCTTCCTTCCGTGTCTGTCTGTAAGCCCAACACCTGGCCTGTGTGTGTACATCGGGACACCAAGATAAGGAAATCAACTCTCCTGGGAAAGAGATGGGTTCCTTCGAAAAAGCAAGGAGTGGTAACAGAGTGCCTAACTGTGTGCAAGGCATTAACCAAGCCCGAGCGTAACACACCAGACCACTGGTCTAACCTTTGACCCACAATCTAAAAGCAAGGGGACAGGGGTGCCTGGCTGGCTCAGTCGGTACAGCAGGCAACTCTTGATCTTGAGGTTGTGAGTTCAAACCCCACATTGAGTGTAGAGATTACTTCAAAATAAAATCTTTCAAATAAATAAATAAAAGGAAGGGGACGTAGCCAATTGCTTGTATGTGCACTGAGCAAGTAGCAACGGGCTAGTCCTGAGTCCCTTTGTATCTTGTTCCCAACTCAACAACACTTATCACAGTCTATTCTGGTTATCTGTTTATAATGACTGAAAGCAAGAAGGACCATCACATTTCTCTCTGTATCCTCAACACCTAACCCAGTGACTGACAATTAGCAAGGACTCAAGTTATGTGCTTGTTTGCTCTGTGTAAGAATCCATTTACTATGGAGAATTATCTACCAAAAGCTGTAAGTAGCTCCACTAAGTACTCAGGAAAGCCCAGGGGCAACCGTCGTTCCTAAAAACCTTCATTTCAACGCAGAGGGTGGATGTGGACAACAGAAGAGGACCTCCCCCTTCACCGCGCAGAAATGAACTACAATGGTGTCAGCCTGAGCTGTGAGAAAGACAGATTCACCAGCTGGAATCACTCTCAGCCATACTTTCCATCCCTTCCTCTTTTCCCAGTGCTGCTCAGATGCTCAGAGAGGCTCCAGGTGTAAGCTCACGCTGACGGCCTCCATAACTCCTACCACAAAAGTTGACACATGATAAAAAGAAACCTAAATGAGCGTGGAAAGTGGATAACAGAGAACTAAAACCAACTCATCATTTTTCAGGACCAGAGGGCGAGATCACAAAAACCTCTGAGACAAAGTGTCAACTATAGGAAAGCCAGTAAAACATGCTGCCTCTGCCAAAACCACAGCAGACACACCCCATTAATCATCTGACCCAAATGATCACTCTCCCCTCCATCTCTGTAGTGACAAAAACAGCCACTACAAATAAACTAGCTAGGCTCATACCACCATAGAGACCAGTGCAATGGGAGAGGGGGCTGGTGTTTTGTTTCCATGCACTGTCCTGCTGGGGTTCTCCAGGCAACTAGTGGACTGCATAAAATCTTCAATATGAGTATCGCCATCTGTTGTTCAATACGTCACTATTCAAGTGCTTCACTTCTGCCACTAATCTTGAGCTTTTCCACTGATCTCCGACATAGGTCTACCAGATTTGAACAAGGGCACGGTCGGGACAGAAAGTCAACACTAGATCGGTTCCCTCACTGCCTCTCCAAGGGCAAAGGGTCCAGGGAAGGAAGAGTGCAGCAAGAGGAAAAGCAGAGGGAGGAGGGCAGAGATTGTGAATCCCAGGCTCCACTGCTCATCAGCTCTGTGACTTGGCAATTCACTTGAGTTTCCTCAGCCTTGGATTTCTCATCTGTGAACTCAGGGAAGTGCATGACATCATCGTTAACATCTTTCCAGTTCTAAAATTCCAGGACGCCATCAGGTTTTAACTGGTGCAAGACGAACAGTTGAGGGGGATGAGTGGCTGGGCTGGTTGTTTTTATCTTAAATTATCTGTGAATTTAATCATGCAAGCTCTCCCTGGACTACTATAACAGCAGATCAAAAAGTTCACTGAACTAGCCAGGGGCTCCGAGGACCTAGAGAGAGTGCAGTCTCAGCAGCTCTCTAAAAAAAGAGATTCCAAACTGTGGCCTGACAGTAGGAGGGAGGAAGAAGACCTGCTCCAGAGCGTGAGCAGCTGCCTTGCTGACAGTTTAAGGACTTCCGAGTTAATCAGGTTTTCTTTTGTAATTAATATAACAGCATCTGCATCTGGGGCTGCCAGAAGGGACCAGCAGGGCTTCTCAGCTGGAGCACAATAACCCTGCCAACATTAGCTACAGGGAAATGCGACTCAAATGGTCTTAAGTGCAAGCCAAGGCTCTTATTTATTTATTTATTTTTCTGGATGCTTCTTAAATACAGATCATCTTGATTAGGGTTACTTCTAAACAAAGGTTTCCAACTAGAAGGGGGAGGAGAAAAGCATCTACAGTAGCAACCCATTTTGTTTATTTGTTTTCCATCACAAAGAGGAGCAAAATATACCACTCCAAGATATGCCTCTTTGGCATGCTATTTTAAGCTAGTTATTTTTAAATAAACAGCAGACACAGGTGAAGCTCTAAAAACTGAGCACAAGTTACCCTTTTATAAGAAACACTGACACTTGCAGTAGTACAAGGGAAATCTCCATTTGCAAGGGCGTCTCCCTCTCTGTACCAGGAAGGGAAAGATGAGTCTAAATCTCTAGAAACCCTTATCTTAAGGCATAACGTTTACCCTTGTTCACAGCGCTCCTCCTGGTAACCTCCCATAACTGACTCCCTACCCCCAACATCTTTGTCTCTAGCTGGAGATGATGTTTAAGGTGGTGGCATGGACCTTTTTGGAGAGTTCTTCCTGGAGAAAAAACATGCATATAGGAGGTATACACATTATTAAACCTGTTTGTTTTTCTCCTGTTAATGTGTCTTTTTATCACAGAGGTGTCTTGGCCAAGAACCTAGAAGGGCAAAGGAAGAAGTATTTTCCTCCCCACAGTTACATTTACTAAGCCCTTCCTAAGTACATCTCTTTATTTGCCTCATCTCATTTAATGCTCACAATTCTACCAGACAAGGACTATTATTATCCCCATTTACAAACGAGGAACCAGCAGCTTGAAAAACAAAACAAAGCAGAGCCCATGTTTCTCCATTTATCGAAGCAAATAAGAGATGGAACACGGGACAGTGCAGGAGCTAGACCTAGGTCTCAGGGGGCCAGCTCAATACCTGGTGGTAAACAGGGTCCGTGAAGAGCCTCAGAATATGTCATCCAAAAGGATATTTTGAGCTCAAGGGACTTGACACACAGCACTATAAGAAGGGCATTCTGACCTCCTCCCCTTTTTCTTCCTGAAAGCAGGAGATAAAACCCCCATCTGGATGATGAACTCCCTATACCAGAAGTAAAGGAACATTCTTATCACCAGAGACCTGGAGTCAAGGCCAAGGAAAATCAGTACAAATAAGCCTTGTTACACTAACCCTTATCTTCCTAGTCACTTTGCCACTAGGAACTGCCTAGCCCCTCTATCTTGTCACATTTTCATAACTTACTTCTCTTTGTCCAATTCAGTATATAAATGTTCAGCTCTGCTTCTTTGTGTCTTCATCTCTCATGGCAACTCCACGTACATGTAAAACGTAATAAAATGTGTATGCTTTTCTCTTGTGTACCCGCTTACATCAGTTTCTTAGGCCCAGCTGGAGACTCCAGAAGGACAGAGGAGAAATTTTCCTCCCCTGCACCCACTACCACATTTTTCCCAGTTTGGAGCCAAACACAATTTGGTGATTGCAGGACGCCAATTTATTTTTTTTTTAAGATTT